AGATGCTTGATAATCAATGGTAATTATGAAGGATTCTACTCATAACATATCATAAAGAATTGGTTATTGTTTTAATAAATATACAAAAAATACAATAACTTTTATATTTGATTTTTTATATGAAAATTGGATTCTATTAAAATCCAAAACTTGGATAAGTATGTTGTGCATTATAATACATACAGCAAATTAAAGTTTGTATTTTTATCTAAAATATTATAATGTTCATCGACTTAATATCAGACTGAAATGTTAGATCATTATGTGTGTTTCCTTGTTGGTTTTAATGATGTTATTTTTTTTTTTTAAGTCAATTATGAGCATTTTCAAACAGTATTTTACACACTCATATTCACTTAAAAAATTAACTTTCAAATGTGGTAAAAAACCAAATAGAGAACACAGATAATCTTCTTACATTTAAGTTTGATAATAGGTCAATTAACTTTAATATTTAAATTTATATTACAAAACCAAAACTTCTGGACTTTCATATTGCTTTATTATATATTTGTAATACAGATACAACACATGCAGGTATGACGCCCTCATCATGGGACAAACTCAATATTTTATTTTATCATTCATAAATTAATGCTTCTTTATTTTAATAAACCGAGTTTAATTTTTAATAATATCTAATTGTCATGTTTTTTTCTAGTCTGAAATGGTTCATACATTACCAAAAACTAGTCATGTTACAAAAGATACAATGACCAAATTACTGATAGATTTTCTTGAGAATCGAGCAAAACGCCATTTACGGTCTTCTGCTGATCTTGATGTTAATTTTCATTTGTATCGAGGGAAAATAAAAGGCAAAGAAACTGTCTACATTGAAACGTTAAATTCTGAAACATTTAATAATGCAGTTTTTAACAACACCGACGTAATTTATACCAATTTTAAATATTTAAACAAATGTTAATGTTTTTTTTTTCTTATAGAATGTTGTAGTATACTTTTACACTCCATTTTGTGCGTATTGTCAAGTTGTTGCACACGTGCTGTTAAGTGTTGCTCGTTTAATGCGAAATGTCAAAGATCTCAAATTTTTCCGCTTCAATGCTAGCAACAATGATTTAAGTTGGCATTTGACTGTACAAACATTTCCTACCATTATAATTTTTCCTGCTAAAAAGTAATATTAGTTATCATTGTTTTTATAAGAAAACTATTTAACTTATTCTACTTTTACTTTTTGTTTTGTTTTAGAAAAGCTGAAAGTTTTGTTTTTCCATATAACACTGAGTTAACATCCAATAATTTGTCTCAGTTTATTCTATCTAATCTATTACTAGAGACTCGGTTACAAGCTATGGTCGGCTTATGTACTGTATGGGATTCTTCTGAGGTAGTATTGATTTATTAAATTTTAATGTTTGCATTAGATAACATATAATTTATGTTTTAAGGATTACAACAAACAACTTCATTACTGTCTTCGAGATATTAAACTTGTCTGCGATGCAAACATATCAAAATCACTCCAGTCATACCGCAGAGGTCTTGTGTACAGAGAAAAAAATAAAAATGTTACATTAACACCTATCTTTAATAGATTGAGGTATTTAAAAGCTTTCAGTCTCATTTTAGATGTAACTCATAAATTAAATTCCAAATCCTTGCAAAAGTTTTCTGAAATTTATAACTTTTAGTTGTTTCAGTTCTAGCTGTAAGTATATAATTTAGTATACCTATTGTTATTTTAAACTTTGAATCACTTGTTAAATTAATAAAATTTATATTTCTCATATGTTATAGGTTTAATTAAAACAAACTGTGATAATGTTATATGATAAAAAAATGAATTTATTTTATTGAATTAAAGTTGACAAATTGGGTTTTCAGTTCATTTTTTTTCTTTCTTCTGCGTGCTATTGTGTGATATCAGTATTCTGGTGCTGGTTTTTGTGTAGGTAGAAGTCCAAATCTCTCCTTGATACGAATTCGCTCTTTAGAATGTTGATCAGTTGGAGTAAATCGAGCTAAAATTTTAATATTCATTATATGATTCTAAGAAGAGAAAAAATATAGTAATAATAACAATAGTAATAATAGTTTTACCTGGGTGGGCACTTAAAGTTTGGTTGCCAGAGGGATCCATTTTCTATTCATAAATGAAAATAGAATATATTAATATTAATTGTAAGATTAATTAAAAAAAATATATAACAAGCTTTGTATAACGAGAATCAAAAGTCCTTGGTTACATTTTTGAATTGACAAATGTAAGTAATATAATCTAAGTTATTTGTAACTAATATTTTTTAAACAATAATAATATATTGTCCACAATTACATACATTCGTCGGATCTATTCAAATGTAAACAAATACAAGCGATACAGTTACAGACAGGTTTTTGCGTTACCTTTAAAGTGTAAACCCGTGTACCGTCTTCACCGCGATAATATCTTAAAAGCATTTTCAAGTTTTCGACAAGTATTTTAAGTATTTTGAGTTTRTTTTGTTCAATGTTCAGTTGATCCTTTATCAAGCTAGTAGCAACAAGCACAACAACTTACTGGTCAAGCACGTGGTCAATGTAAACTACAGTCGTTTTTTTAATCACTGGTAGAGTGGTAGCAGAGTGTAACATAATATATATTATCTATGGTAACATCTTATCGGCCTCGGGTGCTTCGGCTATCACAGAATAAATGATTAAATTCCATAGATAATAAATAAAAATGCATTTATTATCTAATATGTTAAATTCTGTGCAAGGTGGATATATAATAAATAATAAATATATCCACCTTGATTCTGTGCTTTGTGGTCTTTATTATCTATTCTATACTGGTCGGTGGTCCTAATCAGTTTTTCCTTACCATTAACCAAGGTTCTGCACAATCGCAATATTTATCAATTCTCATAAGGCGGTAACCATAATACTGATTAATATATTGCCTATCTATGTCTTAAAAGGGGTTCTAATAAATATTCCTATTTAGTATTTACTCAAAGTTTCRAGATTTCAGAATTCAAGATGAGTAAATTATTATTACTATCATCGAGATTATTCTATTCAATTTAATTKAATTATACCAGATATTTTAAAACAAGTTATACAATCATTTAATTTCGATAGGACTGAAATGTTATATTATATTATAGTATTTTATTAAACATATTGATGGCGTTAAGTCGTCGGCGGCGGTGGTATATATTCAGCGACAATCCACTTTAGCGAGCTGTGACTTTATCTATATTTTCCTATAAATAGTATAAATCCATAATAATAAAACTGATAGARCGCAACGGCGTAATGACAATTTTATTATATTGATAATAATAATAATTCATGTGGCATCATATATGAATCGCTAAATGCAGAAAGGACACATGTCCAAGTTTTAAAATTTTTCAGGAAACACAAAAAACTTAATATATTTGAAAAAAATTGAATTACAAATTGTATGTTATAGAATAATATAGTTTAAGACATGGTATACATGTTTCTACAATCACTTAAAAAAATATAATTAAACTGTAGGTATCTGAAGGACTTTAAGGTTGTGGACATGTGCCGTTTATGTATCAAATTACCATTATTATATTTCGAAAATAACAGTTTTCTTATAAATAAGTAGCTTTAATATGCATAAATATTAAAATGACATGATTAAATAATATGCAGTAGATTATATGTATACTAATATTGAGTCACAAATATTTGATTTTTTTTTAATAATTAAAAATTTAATTATATAAATATCTTATGTTCTATTTTGTCTTCCTTGGRGTGTCTCGGTTTGTAACGAAAAAATATAATTCYAAAATKATTGCAATGCTGCCTCTGAAATATATTTCCCTAGTTGCTTCAAATCTTTCATTTTGCTTTCAAGAATTGGTAAGCTTGAAGTATAAACTAGTGTTTTTGGGAGTTGTATGGGCATTACGTTGTTTTTTCTCACTACTCATATGAATATTCATTAAAGTAGGTTAGGTCAAGCAGGAATAGTGTGTTTTGCGTAAACGGGTATCGCGCTATCAAATAAATGTGCAAGGGACATCCTGTTGTGTGGCGCGCTAGCTTTAAGACCATGAATATGAGATATACGAGGGGATATTAACTGTAGCGGGGACTAGGGATTCTCTCTACGTACAACAAGACGACTGGCGACTGGACGACCAGAAGACCACACCACACTCAGTCACATATCACTTGTCCACAATTAATTATTTTGACTTAGACGAAATTTTATTCAAAATATTATTTGGACTTAGTCGAACTTTATTAAATAACTGTAAAGACTTAAARAAATTCATACTATTATAATAAATCATCAAGAGTTGTCTTTCTTCCATCTAACTAAATTGATCTTCCGACTGGGGATGGTTACACCACGCACGAACCGTCTCTAAACGAAGACTCAAAACTCTACAAGTATTATAGCTTCGTATAGTACGCGTAATAATACTGCCTACGTCCCTATACGATTATAATTTATTGGTATTTAAAAAAAAAATTTAATATATTAGCCATTAATTGTTATTTACTCTAAAGACATATTTGATATATTATGACTTGCCAAACAGGGCCGGTCCAAAGTATTTTGACGCCCCGGGAAATTTGTTGAAAGGCGCCCTTAATTAAATTCTCCATAATACATTTAATACTTTTTATACTT